TTTCCTTCCCAAATCCACAAGGCCGTGTAATAGAGGTAGGCATTCGTATCGTGATATCTGAGAGAGAAAAGGGCAGGTTTTCCTCTCACTTGAAGTGATTATCTTAAATTCAGATTTTAAAAATCACTTTAATTGCTTGTTTCTTTGTTTCCTAGAAATAGCATATTCTTATACAACACAGGAATAAAAAGTGTAAATTGCTGTCATTCAGTTCAGCTGTGATTTTTGGATAGATGTATTTGGATGCGTTGACATTAGGGAGGGATAGGAAAGTGAAGAAACACCTATTGTTTTGCCATATTCCCTCACTCACATATTCTCAGCTGTATTTCTTGTATCTTAGTTCATTTAGAAAGGGCATGGGAAGGAAGGAGGAGAGGGGAAAAACAGTCTCTGCTGGGAAAAGTCCAGTGTAGAAAAAATAGTGTTATAAGCTTGGGTAATATTTAGCAATTTACCGTGAGACATTTTGCGCTTATAAAAATCTCATAATAAATTGATAAACCAGATATCTCTAGCAGTCCGCTGTGAAAAGAACTGAACATAAAATATAAAAGAAAAAAAAGAGGAAAAGAGTACAACCGCCAATAGTGCGGCTGTACTAACTAATCTCTCCCTGGCTAACAGGAAAAGAAGTAGTGCAGACTGCTCCTGAAGGATAAGAATCCTGCTGAGTCTTCAGACCACAGCATGATTTAACTTAGTGATGGACTTCAGCAAATCCTTGGAGAAACCGGAAATGAGAAAGCTCAGCAGGCCTGCTCCTTAGCAGCGTCTCCAGATCCAAACCTAAGTACACACTAAATACTACAAGTGCGCATGGGTGAGGATTTTAAGCTGCTAGATTTTTTCCGTTTCTATAGTCGGTTACTTGAAGAGCATTTTGTTGCACACTTATTAAACTTACAGCCTGCCATGGATTGGAAGTAAAACTATGAGGAAGATAAATTTTACTCCAGAGTAAATAATCAAATCTCTGTTTACGTCAGCGAAGCAACGATCAGTCATAATCATAGCAAGATTAAACTTCAGCCTCTTTTCTTTTTTAATTCCGCTTAAATATCTTGTTTTAATTGAACCTTTCATATGATGAGTGTGTTAATACCAGAGGATTTGTTATAGGCAGATTTTCAAGTTTTCAAGCTTTTTCCTGAGTGACTAAAGATATTGTCCAAATAGCTTATACAAAGGGAAGAAGGTGACATACAGATAAAAGTTTTCTGCATTCATATGTTTGAGAAAGAAAACAGAATTCTGTTCTGTGAGGTGCTGAATGGGTGAAAACCAGCACTTGTCTAGTGCCATTTCTGCATTCAGCAGAAGAGTTCAGAAGGAAAAACTACTTTCCTCCATGGCAATAAAAATATCACTGTAAATGTTAAAGAAGAAATTAATGTAATCACCTAAAGTTAGGTTCAGTGTCCCACTGAACCTGACAGTCCTCTTCCTGCGGAAAGGTGCTAGAGAGAGGAGCCACTGAGAATTCAGCAGTGGTCAGTGTTTCTTAGCACTGTCTTGGGATACTGATTCAGTGGAAACCCTTACTCAGGAAAACACTTAAGCATATGACTGAGTCTCAGCTTACTATTAAGTATTTAAGTATTAACTTAAATGATTGTGTGCTAAAATGGTCTGCTAACTTTGGAAAGTAATTTTGTAAGTCTGGTCAGAAATGAACTGTCCATATTCCAGAATAAGTTGTTGGCCAAACAGGAATAGGCTTCAGGATTGCTAGCTGTGTGCTCTAATCGCTAGCCAGAGTGCTACGTCATTCGCCAAATATTTCACAGTTCTTTTCATTTTCAACCCCTACCTGACTTGCTTGAGAATTCCTGCCCTCAAGTTAAAAGACGAGCATGCCCATTCATCTAATTAAACAAACAGATCTTTCTTTGGTAACAGCAGCCATAAAACTCCTCCTCAAATCTTTGACACTTGATTGTCACCGTGCAGCCACACCTCGTCGTCCTAGTCACAAAGTGTGTTTTCATAACATAGCAACAGTGGTGAGAACTCCTAACCTTCTGCTCCACTGGCCTCTGCATTCTTTCATATAAATCAATGCAGGCCTGAGAGAATTAAATCAAAATGCCATCTCGGGATTCAGACTGTAAACTTGCATTTTAAACTAAAACCAAGCCTGAGATATATCCATTTCCAAGCTTTGAGGACTGAAAGATCAACACAAGTCTATGTTCAATGGGATTGCATGCCAAGAATGGATACAGCAGGTTTTATAAAGCCTTGCAGTTAACCCATTGTTCAAAACCTCTATCTGATCCAAACTTCTAGCATTTTTTTAACATAGTTGAAAGCAACACCAGCCTGGAGGCCTGGTGGAGCTCTCTGAGCTGTACTGGAGTCACAGCCCACTGGTGTTGTGCGTTTGGGGTTTCCTTCATTGCATGGAGGTCACTCTGGGCACCTCTGACCCTCAGTTTGGATCACTTTCTGTTTCAATCCAAAGTTGTGTTTCCCCTGTCTTTCCTCACCGCGTGCAGGCTCTCAGCAGCTCTCCCAGAATAAAGCAACCAGGTCTTTCTGCAGACAAGACCTGGAAATGGCTTAGGGATTACTCTGACAGGCAGTATGGATGGCACGAGGCCAAGCCTTGCTTCTTCTGTACAGCTCAGTGCCCCAACACTGTGCCAGCTGGCCTCATACCTCGTGCTACACCCCTGCAGGTGACATCATCAGCATCATGTTTAAAAGCACGAATATGGTAGGCTGCTTTCTCCAGCTCTTGGGCACTTGAGAAAGACATGCTAGTTCTTAAAATAACCTTAGAAAATTAGAAAAGTATTGCAGACCTGAAAAATGGCCATGTGACGTCAGAAGGAGAATGAGGCCCTTGCTTCAAGACCCATGATTGGCAAGAGCAGATCTCATCAAGGTTCGGTGTCTCTTGAATGAGCAGGTGCATGCTGCAATCCTCCTTCACGTATGACTGTCCCTGCGTGTTTGGTGCACAGAGCGGAAACGCACTTCATAATCTCAGATATCACAGATTATTCCCTGATGTTTCCCTAGTCTTCACAAATACTTTCTGACATTACAATGAAGCTAACTTTTTTTATTTTTAATCTATTGGAAAACTGGCTGCTAAGGTGTGAGATTGGATAACAACATAATTCTGGTTTGTTGGAAATAGATTATCTGCATTAAATTTGACAGAGAATATGTTTATACTTACCTATGTGTTTGAAACTAACATTTCCATTATGCTTGTATTTCTCACTCGATGGTTTTGCTATTCAGAATTGACAAAGTACAACATACAAACGTTTGGAAAAAGAGACTCTCCCCTGACTACACCAGAATGCAGTGGAGCTGTGCCAGTTTGCCACAGCTGGGGATCTGAATTATGGCATCCATAATTTATATGGAGACCGTAGGATCCCATCTCTGGACATGTATAGCTTATAGATACTACAGGGTATGCATATAACAGCTGAGGTTACAAAGGTATGGATTTGCACATCCATATCATTGCTATTGCAACATAACAAAGTGAATCTGAGACACCCGTAGCTTGTTTAATAATTGACTAGATATACTTATTTACCCAGCACTAACTGCTGGCCAGTTACTTTTTAAATGTCTGTATAATCCAACTCTGTTCCGATCTGGTTACTGACTGCGCCAAGACGCGCTCGAGCCCCAACCAGGCCAGCTTTGCCAGCGTCCCCTACGAGTGGTGCCAGGGGCAGCCGTCCCCGACCTCGCTGGCCCACTCCGGAGCGGCGATGGCAATGCCTGCTCTAGTAGCCTCCGCGACGGGTGGCGAAGAGTTTGTTTCACAAGGAGCAAGCTCCTCCGGCTGACGTGGGACAGAGCCTGAAGACACCGGAGAAGGGGTCGGGGCCGCTCTGCGACAGCGGCAACATTGCGGTCGGGGTAGCACAGCCGTTTGTCGTGGCCTTGTTCCACTGCTCGTTGCCGTTTCAGGCGATGCCTCCTGTTTTAAACTCAAGTTATGAATGGTTCATTTCTGTTTCACTAACTGTTTGAATTTAGGAGCCTTCTTACTTAAGTCTGCTCTTATTTCAGGGGATCAAACCGGCCCTGATGTTTTCACTTCCCTATCTAGGGTCCAGCATGAGGATCTGTCACTGTTATAAGCCGATGAGATATTCTGTGATATTTAAGTCAAATTCAGGCAGTGGTATCCATGACTTTATACTGACTCTACCATGAAATTACAGTTTTCCGGATGAAGAAAAGAGAGCACAAACAGACTTCAACTCTGATAACGTGCTAGAGATATTTTGTTCTCAAGCTTGGGGCGTATACAATTTTGGAAATATTTTAAAATTTAGGAACCTCAATGAATAAAGTAATATTTTGCTTCTGTTTTTAAAATGTTATTGTTTTATTTTTATTGTCATTTTTCTGTTGTCTGCGTGAGCAAAGGAATATAAAGAGTTGTTACCTTTTCACAAATTTGTTAGAAAAGAAGAAAAACTAGAATGCATAGAATACTTCAAGTTGACTATAGATAAATTCAAAATACCTTCCGTTCTTTACTAACATTACTTGCATATGTTAAACAAATGCTGTAATTACCAGAAAGACTCTGCAGTTGGTTAAGGCAACCTGTGTGGCTTGAATAGGAGCAGAAAGGGAGAGTAAGAGAAGCAGACTTCCTCAAATTTTTACTTTTAGAAGCATCTCATTAAACGTAATTTTGAGTCAGGAGAGGTTACTAACCGTGCCCTGGTTAACTTAACTGTAATGTACCATTCTCTTATTAAGTGGAAATATTCTATGGAATTTATTACACCGTAGCCTAAGAAACTTTGTCCTATGGGAGAGAGATTTTTATATTTTTTATAAATATGTATTTATATAGAGATACAGCACATGTGTTTTTATAAAAATTTGTTTTACATATATAATATTTATATATTTATATATTTTAGTACCTTGCCTATATAAATATATACAGTTAAGTAATGTTATTTCTTTGATGTGATTGATACTTTTTCCATCTCCCTTAGTGACTGTCACATAAGTTCCACAAGGAAAATGGACCCTAAGGTGCGAGAGAGTGAAGGATTTGGAGAGGACAATTCAGGTAGAATTGCTGGTTTCTCTAGTGAATGAAAAGTGTTATGACTTTTTGAGCTTCAATACCTTAGCCTTATTACAGAAGTGATTCTGTTTATTTAGAAAATATGTCCTCCCTTTCTCTCTTTCTGTCTCCAAGGCTGTTCTATTTTTCACATTTTCAGAGGCTCGATACAAGATTTTTGTAGCATCTTGTGACAAAGTTAACTTTTTAACCTAACGTGATCCAACAATAACTGAAACACTGACAGGGGTATCTTGCAGTGATGTCATGCCCACTTATTTGGGACAGGTACGAGTTGCTGGGTTGTCTTATCCAAAATGCTGATTTCATTTTAAATAGCTTTCTCCTTGGATCTTGGAACTGTTCCTAATTCAGATCCTTCCTCGCTGAACAGACTAGCATTGCCTCTCAAGATTATTGCTTGATTTCTATTTTAATACTTTGTGATCCATTGAGTCTCATAATTACCATTCAAAATATTCTGGAACGTACAATAAAACTGATATTGTAAAAGCATTAGCCACCTGGCACGCACCACCTAAGTAAGCCATTTCTGCATGTAAATTGGTTTTAGTAACAACATTGTCCTTATCTTCACTATTTAGCTTGCTGAACACAGGCAGTGAGTTTCCAAGTTGTAATTCCTTCTCTATATTCCAGGCAGTTAATACCAAAATTTTTCTTCACGGTCTAAACATCACAAGAGGCAAGTAGAAACTTTATTAGAAAATACCCTACGTTGTAGGTTGTTTCTTATATGTCATAAACATTGCAATCCATTCTCCAAGATAATAGTCATTTCATGTTATCAGTATAAGCCTGAAAGACATTCATATAAAAGTGAACTGTGTTGCCTTGTCCAGGAAAAAATCCACTTGTGAAGTTGTATAGGATTTATTATTGTTCCTAAATTTTGCAAACGCTGCCAGTAGCATCCTTCTTTATGTTTCATTACTTAGGAAAGAAAAAATCGAAGTTCAAATCTTTCAAAAAGCTTTTTGGTAAAAAGAAAAGGAAAGAGACATTGTCATCTACTGGGAGCATCAGTCTGAAGCTATTCCAGTCAACAAGTGATGTGATGGCCTCACAAGACACGCACGTTGGTTATGATTCTGAAGATGAACTTGAGTAAGTCTTTGAACCGTGGCCAGTAAACAAATGAAGAGCTGTTAACAGTGTTTATAGATTAAGAAGACTCCAAAATTGTCTCCTCTTCCTATTCAGAATGCCACGTTCTTGAACAGTTGTCTGTTTAAGGAAAGTACAAATTAAAACGGCTGATGTGAGGCAAATTACAAGTGCGGCAGAGGGGGTGCAGCAAGAAATAATAATTTAAAAAGCTTTCATTTAAGCGTAGATAAAGTTTGAGTTATCATTTCAAGAGAATGTCCTTCCCCTCTTCAAATACAGATTAGATACTCAGTTTATATTTTACCAGAATGGTGTCATGCCCCTAAAACGCATCTCCTGAAGACTGTTAAAGAAATTTAGATGACTAATGATTTACATAGGTTTTCAAAAGCAAGGAGGAGATAGATAATGGTATGAATCCCACTGAAATCACCAGGAACCAGAGGTTGTGTAGCCTTTATTTCCTCTGTATATGCAGGATTCATCTGACCAAAAGATAGATTCTGCATCGGAGCTAGTCACCACAGTTGTCTTTTATAGTCAGCCGAGGGAAATCCACATTGCTAAGACATGGATCTTATCATTCTTGTGTAGATAGCTGAAGTAGGTCAGATGAACCATGCCCTGAAAGCTCCTATTTCTCTCCAGTGACTGTAAACGGGAGCCCGGACTGATCAGGTCTGATGTAGATACCTATGTTGTAATGTCTGAAGTTAGATAAGAAGAATCCCAGCCTGGGTACCTGAATGCCTCTGAAAATCTCATCTTCATTCAGGCACTTCCAAAAATCTCATCTATTACTTTTCATCTGAAATGTAAGCACAAGAAACACGGTATAAAGTTCACGTGTTTTCTTGGGTGGGCGGATGGGTCGAAAGAGTCCCTCAGCTGCCTATAAATAAAGTCCTTGCATTAATGGACATTGGGTCTCTCAAGTACAGGCACCGGTTACTCGGGCACTAGAAACTGTAGTCAAGAAATGCTGTTAAGCGTAGGGACTGGAAAGGTAACTAACCATCCTGTCCATTTAAAATGACATTATGCAGTATGGCCACTAGGCAGCGCCAAACACCCAAAAGAAATCTGATAATTTTGTGTGTGTGTGTGTTTTGCCGTATTGGCAACGGTAATATTAGTCCAGCCTGGTCAATAACTTGAGATTGTCGCTGCTTCCCTAGAATTTCCAAGTTTGTAGCATCAGGTCTAAGAGTGGGCTGTAGCATTTTTATTCAACGGCATATTTTTGGGACCTGGATGGTCAGATTAACTCTCCCTCATACGCTACTCAACAAGGTCATGTCCAAGTGGGTAGTCTCTGCCTCTTTTGGCCATGTTCCTGTGCTGTTATTGGTAGTGTTAGTACATTATTGTTTCTTGATGTTTGTTTAAACAGACAAAGAAGTTTTCCTTTGAAAGAAAGGAAAATTAAGTAGAGCTCTCCTAATCTGAGGAGACATCTAGGGTACCTCCAATACCCTTCTGGGAGATGTATATCTTCTAGAAAGAGAACAGCAAAGGTAGCATGACGGGATAAATGTGCACATACAACATTGCTTATCTGGCTGCTGTTTCAGTTTGTGTAAAATGTTGATGCACTGAGCAGCCATAACAGCCCTTACTTTGCAAATTGCGATAGATCCCTCTGACCTTGGATGCATTACAGAGATAACATTTTCACTTAGATAAATTGTTCTTCTAATGTCTCTAATGTATTAAGCAAAAATAGCAGGCTTTCCTTCGTTCTGCAGCAGGGAATACAGATCAACTATTTCCTCCTATTGTTTTATCAAACATATTTATACCAGCCGTTATAAGGAAAATGTTACTTTCTGCCATGTTTGTTTATGTTTCTGAATGTCCCTATGACAGTACCTCAGATCCAAAAATAACAGTTCTGCTCCTTTTTTTCTTTTTTTTCTTTTTTTTTTGCCAGATAATCTCTTCAATTAACTTGATAGTTGCTTGAATTCAAGCAATTCGGTATTCTGATTTGCCATTTCATAGCTGTCTTATTTAAAAAAATTAAAAGAAGGCATTCTGGAAGAAATGCCATGTGCGCACATTTCCAGTCCCTGTTCAGTTAGGCTATGAGCTAAGCAGTGGAAAATGAGCACAACAGATCTCCTAGCAGCTGACTGCCCCTGGCTCTCCCCTGTCCTTCCCCTGAAGAAACAAGGTGTTAATCCCCGACATGTAACATTTTCAAAAGAAGTTACATGATGCATGTGTCAGAAGTAGGGAATAGACTGTGAAAGAAGCTACCCGTAAAGCACTCCCCTACTTCCTTTCTCTGGACCACAAAGAACGCCCATGAAAAAATACGTCCTGCAAGCCCATTAGGGAACAGCCCAATGATCTTGATACAGGAGGTAAAGTATTACATAAATGATGCTATGTGATAACTATATCCTTCTGGAATATTTTTGTTAATGACCTGTATGGCAGGGATGTATTAAATGCTATACCACGCTTCAACAACAAAAGGTATTATTCTTCATAGGGTAAGTCATTTGCAAGACATGTTACTGTATTAGCAAGAAGTTAGCATGTCTCAGCTACAGGATGGTTTATGTGAACTCACTTCATTTTGCATCTGTGCTTGCCTGTGGCATTGTCACACCACTCAGGTGGTGGCTTCTAGCCAAGGGGCAGTAGCTTTTCCTAAACTATTACTGAGGTTAAACCATCTCTTGATTTAGTTTGTTAACACTACAGCTGCAATTTTGCAATTGTTTGATTAGTTTTTAAGGCACTACATGGATTGGCCTGAATTACTGCATTGTATTCAGTGAGAAGTTTGCAATCTCAGGTATAATGTATGTGGTGCGCATTTATCTTCCACCCCATGTTCGAAAGACCATCTGAGTTAAGAACAAGAGAACTGACAAAAGACGTCTAAATGCTTTCACTAGTTTGTTGTATTATTCTAGGACCCACAAAGGCATTATGGGAAGCAGAGCTTTGTCACATGATAGCATTTTCATCCCTGAGACTGGGCAAGAGCCTGCAAGGCCAGTAAGAGTATTTTCTCAGGAGAACGTTTCTGACCGAATTAGAGCTTTACAGGTAATATACGTAACATACGTTTTTCAAATGCAAGAGATGGGAGGTCTTCCCAGGCTTTTTTTTTTTTTTAATATCCTTTATGGTTGAACATTTGATTAATAAGTAATTGTCATCTGCAGATTACATTAAATGTGGAATTTGTTAATTAGACAGCAGTATCATATCTTGGTTCTACTTAAATGATAGTTGTGAAATGAATGGGTTGTTTGGCCATCTAAGAAAACTTCTAAAGAGAGATGTCCTGTGCTCGAGATCATTCAATTGTAAGGTTAAAATAAAGGTAACTCCTTGACGTGAACTAAAAAAATGGAGTGGGGAGACCTCCACCCCTTTGACATGCTAATGAGTTTTATGCCATATTGTAGTTGAAACTACAGCACAACATGAAATTGGGACCTCCACCTCCATTTGGACTTCATGCAAAGCGCTCAGAGGATGCTGGGACCAGTTCTGAAGATGACGGATTACCCAGGAGTCCTCCAGAAAACTCTTTGCTCCATGAAATCCTAAATTCAGGCACAACGAGAGTAAGTAGTTCTGGTATTGACAAAAGTCAGTGTTTAATGACTTGACTTAGCTGTGTGTGGAAAGGAGAAGAAATTATTTGGTTTGGTATATTACTACTTCATCTCTGAACCATTCAGAAATACCTTAACTCAAAGTGGGAAAGGGGTATCTCTCTGTGTAAACAGCTACTTAGAATCTCTCTGTTCCTGTTGAAATATAAAGATCATGCCAGAAAATGTAGAATTAGGAAAGAGAGGGTGTGTTTGTGTACAGGGGGTCAGGGAGTGAGGTGGGTGCTTGGGGACTACAGATAGCTGCCAGGCATAAAAAAAGCCTGAAAAATCTGTAGTCCCCTGAATGTGCTGATTAGAATTTCTTCCTTAATATTTTTCTATACTGTCATGGGGAAAAAGAAGCGTAACAGAATTTGATTTTTTTTTTTTCCTTTTTAAATGATAGTTTTGTTACAGATTATTTCATTCTTTATCTGCATGTCTTATACTTTATGTTTGCAATGTCCTTGCTAATCCTTAAGACTATAGAGAAAAACAACTTACATTGTCAGTATTGTGTGCACTTTGTGTAGATGGTTTCTGCTAGTACATCTGTCTCATTTGTCATCTTTACTGAATCTCTTCCTCATTCCATCCCACAGTTCTCTGACTCTCACAAGCACCTTAGCTCTTTGAGTTTAGCTGGAACAGGCAGTGAAGAAGAAGAACAGGTAACTTCTGCCAAATGTATTAAGGGCCAAGCGATTATGTATATTAATCTTTTAAAGGAATGTAAGGCATAAATATTACTTTGTTGTCTGTCTGCTGCAAAAACAACCTTCTGTGTATGTAACTGCGCGTCTGTCTGTTTTACTGTTTTAATGGCTGCCCTTCTAACATAAAAAGTTATGTTTATTTATCAACATAATTCTCCCGCACCAAATAATCCCCTGTTAATATGATTATTTAACTTAACTAAGCTCTCTAGTATATCTCATATCCTTCAGAAAACTTGACTCTTCAAATTTAATTTAATCTTCAAAACCAAACAACCAGATTTATACACAGAAGGAAGTGATATCCCTTTTTTAAAGATGAGAAACTACAGTAAAGGGGGGTTAAGTTATGTGCATAGGATGAGGGAGGAAGTTTGCTGGGGAGACATGAACAAAATGTGGATCTTCTGATATCTGCCCAGACCCTTGTTTGAAGTACAAAATTACCTTGCACTGATATAGAAACTGTTTGCCTGATGATAGTGATTGACATTGCTGCTTAGGAGACTGGGATTCAGTCTTTGCTCAGATTCTGGCCACGTGAGCCAGCGTGAGCTGTGAATTCTGCTGAAGCGATGTTTTCAGGACTTGAGTACAAGCAAATAGATGGTTTTCTTCAATCAGCAGTCAGACATTCTGGCTGATTAAAGAGTGGTTTTCAAAGGCTCTGAAGAGTCCCTTTTAGTTGTCCGCAGCTGGAGTCATGGTGGAAACGACACAGGGGGTAAAGTGAAAAACGTTTTCTAGAAATAGGAGAAGGGATAGAGGGAAACTGCAGAAGGGAAATAAAGAAGCTGGTCCCAAGCTGACCATTCTTTGGTAATTATGTAAAATGTATTTTAACGCCAGCTGCCCCAGGGCTCAACAAAGATTTCTGGCCCCACTTGTTAGACTTCATATGAAGGTGTTTGAAAAACTGCTTGTATATAGTGAAGTCTTAATATGTTTTAAAGCAGAAATGGAACACATGAAGAAAGTATTTCTTGAAAACTGGTATAGATTCACTGTAAAAATATTTGTCCAGTCCAGATGTATATTCACTAAAGGAGCATTTATGCCTCCCTGTAGCTCCATTAATACCATTCTCTGACTCACCCTCTGACTGCAGAAACGCTGTAGTGACTATGGTTGCTCAGCTTTTCCACATGCCCCATAAGTTAGCTCAGAGCTCTGTGCATCCCAGTCCAGTTTGAGAGTATATCCAGAAAGTAACATCACATGAATGCGTTCCTCCTAAAATGCAGAACTGAACTGGCATTTTGGAGAGACGAGGCCTGCTTCTAGAAGTCAGGAGGAGACCTAATGGCGAGCCTGTAGGCCTGAGGGGTGATACGGTTTTGTACATCACAACTCTGAGGTTTTGGGTGGCAACAAGACCTTGCAATGTCTTGGAAGCTTTCCTAGATGGAAGAAGGAAGAGAGGGGTCATGACCATCCCATCCTCACTCTGGGAACGGGGCTCCCTCTTTGCCCCACACCTGGTGATACCCAGTGCAAGCAGCTGAAGGGGAGCAGAGCCATGTGAACGTGACGTTTGGGGAAAGGGGCCCGCTGGCCACCCCCGCTCCAGTAGGCTTAGCCAGAGCCGGATTTCACAAGCCAGGCAATCTCTGCAGCTGGCACAGACCTGGTGTTCACTCGGCCTGCTGAAATTTAACTGGAATAGCAAACCAGATTTTTGTGTTTCCAGCGTAATGGCCAACACTGAGCATTGCCAATGAGAAGAAATGCAAGTTCTGAAGGAACTCTCTCTAATGTATAATGCAGCCATGTATCGTTGTTGTACATTAGTCATGTTTGAGTACTACACTGCAGATACTGTAGAGAAACCCTGCTGCAAATTAGAGAGAGCATCCATTATTCAGCATGGCTGAGTTATTTATTTATTTTTTTAATAGAAAGCATGATCAGAAGCTGTAGATCCAGCCTCCACTAAAATCAATGGGAGGTTTTTCCTGAATGTAGAGGTAGGAGGCGCTAGCTATATTCCAGAATATCTTTTAACTGCAGTCCATATGCAGAACTCTACATGCATAAAATGCTGATTTTCTTCCTTCCCCCCCAAAAATTAACACTATGCTACTTTTCCCTTCTTCCATCCATTCCCCTCAATAAATACGACTTCCAGAAGCCTTCTATCCAGCAGAATAAGGCATGCCAAAAGAAGGAAAACGTCCATAACGAAATGCACTGGAGCTTCAAGCCTCCAGAGGACTGTTATGAAGAGTTGTCAGAGGTCATTTTAATATTATGACAGATAGCTTGGAAATACCATTTTGCTTATTTGTAAAAACTGAACCAGAGAGGAAGACCCCTTTTTAAAGAGTCATTTTTCACAAAGTTCTCTCTCTCCTTTTTGCATCAGCCCTGGCACTTGGGTAGTTTTTGCTGAGGCACGCAGGAAAGTTGCATTTCAGCTTCATGAAAGTATTGCATCCTTTTGGGGCATTCAGAAGTTATTTCTGGATGCATTACTGTTCAGGTTGGAAGTTCCAGGACACTAGTAGCAATTGCCCATCGTTTCCTTCCCTAAAATAGTCTATAAATGAAATGTTATGTTTCAAGGTAAACTCCCTACTTATTTTGCAAGTAAAAATAAATGAAGAAAAAATAGAAGGTAACTTAAGTGTTAATGCCATTGTTTTTTGATTCTTTTTTCTTTAAGAGAAAGTTATAGAGTTGGAAGGGACCTGGTGAAAGGTAGGGAGCTAGAGATGCTCTGGCCCAGCATAACTGTGGGTAGGAGTCTAGACAGATGCTGGAGAAGAGACTCAGAAAGGAAATTTACCCATTAGGATTGGTAACTGAGTACTCTGGATAAATGTATTTCCTAAAACACGCTGACCATGTATTTCTGTGCTTTAGATCTAGTTAAATGTGATTTGTTCTCTCCCACTGGACTATATAACATGATATTCTCGCTGCTAAAAATGCAAAATTGCTAACACTAGTATTTCATGTGCAACGTTAGGAAATCTAATGTGTTTTAAAAAGAAGTCAAAAAGAAACTGAAGCAACCACAAAATGCCACTAAACGTGCCCCCTTCTCTGTAGGATTGTTATTTTCATGTCTTGGTTTCTTTGTTTGATTGGAGAATCAAACAAATTATTTTTGTTTTAGGTCACACTGGTTTCTTCCTCTAGACCTCACTCTACAGCCAACCAGCTGTTGCCTAGGCGTAGAAGTGCTAAAACTGGACGTCCCCAGATATCTGACAGCAGCAGCTCGCCTGCAGCCAATTTTGACACTCCACCTGAGCTCTCCTCTTGCTTAGATAATTCTGCTGCTAAACACAAACTTTTAATAAAACCTCGGAATCAGAGATCCAGTAAAATGAGAAGATTTTCTCAGGTAATTATGAAAAAAACAGTGTCACCATTGAAACAAAAACTGGAACTTCCTACTGGGTTTCATATTCAAACTCAGACTGGTTAAGAAAAGTCAAATGGGCGCACGGATGTTTCATTGAGTTTTAGCAGCTTTTATTTAATATGTATCTGGAGTAGACAGTAAGAACAGACTAAATATTATAAGATTAATTGTTAATTCTCTTGATACGGTAGTTGATGTGAAAAGTTCTTCCTGAATTTACCATACAGTACAAGTTAGTGTCTTGCCCGTGATGCAGAAGTTGAGGCTGACTGCTTCCTTTCTTACTTTTAAAATTTTATCTTTTCAAAAAATTATGATCATTTTGCATACTTTTCCTGGCCTGAAAGATCTTGTAAAATCTTGAGTTTTTGAGAGACTATTGATGGAGGAACTGTGTTGTTTTTTAACTTCCCAAATATCATTGCGATTATATTTTCAAAAATTACAGAAAAAAGTTGTGCCTGATTAGTTGGAATCAAATACTGGACATTAGGGCTGTTCTGCATTCAGCCCTCTCCCTGTCCCAGACTTGTAGACCCCGTATGTGCACTACGGAGACTTAAAAATAAGTCACCACAGGAAAAAAATTGTATGACTGAAACTGTTTTTTTTTGAACAGTCATTTAAAACGCTTTTTGTCTGGTTCTTTTTTGTATCTTATGATGGGAATCATTTAATATTTCTTCTTTCTCTCCCATTTGAGACCTTCAGTTTATAATTCTTACTACAGTATTTGCACTTACTGCAGTATTTGCACTGTGGTTTCTTTCAATGTTTTAAATACATTAAAACCATAAAATTGGCTTATTTAATATTAAGAATATCTTTCCCTGTCTACTTTAAAGTGCCAGATGATTGAGCCCTCCTGGTTTTCCATGGAGAATCTTTAAACTTTTTGATATTACAATTTTTAAACATTTTCCTGCCCACTTTTACCTGTGTACTTTGCTTCTGGCTTGCTAACTGCCATCCTCTGCTTTTATATTCCTGGGCCCTCACTGGATGTGGGATGTGAATGCAGGTGGCATTGCAGCTTTGTCTTTGCTATTGCATTTGCAAATCTGGAAATAATGTGAGTCCTAAAAGTGTCTTCAGAGTGCAGGTTTGGTGTTCTTAGAATTAGGGCCTACATCCAAAATACATATTTAACCAACAAACTGCAGTGGTTGAAGAAGCTAATACAGGCACATATGAAAATGCATATTCAACAGCTTAATAACATGCTTTGAAATAATCCTGTGTATTTAGCCAGTCCTAAGTACATATTTATAGAAGCTTACCTGAATTTATAAAATTTCATCGGGTAGTCTAACTTTTAAAAGAAAAGAAAGACTTGCACACAAGGGAGGCAAGGTTATAATGCTACAAGGCTGTATCAGTATGATTAGACAGAAGATTGCCATATGGGAGTAGATACTCAGCTGGCATAGTGTGTCACAACCTCATGGACTTATTCAATAATTTTTTGCTCTTCTTTCTGTATACACTTGCCTCTTCAAGGTCATGTTTCAGAAAGAATGAGTTGTTTTATTTTTAATCCTGTTGTAGAGTAGCAAAGTACAAAGGGGCAGATTTTTCTTTTTCAAGTGCTGCTTTTTGCCCAAGAGCAACACAACGTATCCAGTATGCTCTGGGGCATCAAGTGCCAAGGACAGTCCAATGGCCATTGTTTTGATGAACTTCCCATCTAGGGAGGCATGAAAGCACCAGTTGTGCAGAACGAAGTGTCATTGATTGCTTTTATATTGGTTAAATACATTATACCATGATCTGCTCAGCCAAATACGCATCTAGTGTGTAGGTTATGAAAACGGCATGCTCAGCTTTGAAGGCAAGTATTGCCTTTCTCTCTTGAGATGTCAGTTGTAAATACAGTGATAAACCAGAAAGAAAAAGTGAATCTGTACATGGTGATGGGGCTTTCTGAATTTCTTTGTTGCAGAGGGCTCAGTCTGAATCTCTGACTGATTTGAGCTGTACACCAGAAGAAGAAGAGGATGATGACAAAGAGATGCAGACAGATTTGCCAGATGCTCTATTGAAAACCAGTGAGCAAGAACTGCCGTGCAGCACAGCTGCAGCGCAGGATGTGGCTTCCTGGAAGAAGCCCAGAACGCCTGAGGACCTTCCCCCTGGTTTGACACCAGTGATGACTCAGCCCGCTTCTGAATCTACTGTTGTACAGGAAGCCCTGTTACCAGAGAATAAACCAGAGGGCTGCCAACCATCGCAGGAAACAGTATGCACAAAGCCTGAGTCCTCGCTGCTGCTGGAAGGTAAAGACTACGCAACTTCTCCCTACTCCAGTCTAGACAGAGAAATACAAAAGCAAAAAGATTCCTCAGAAACACTGACATTGTTGTCTGAGGATGAGAGTGATGTGTCAGTCAGTACCTTAAATCAAGAACAGAAGGAGCTTCCTACTGTGTCTTCAGTATGTAAAATACCATTTGAAGAAGATATTTCACTTAATAAGCATAGTCTTGTTTGTTTGGACGGTTCAGAAGAAAATATACAGAAGGATGATCAGATACTTGTGCAAATGTCCTGCAATAAAGAGGCAAAGAAAGAGGTTGCTGTATTGTCAGAGTCTATCCAGCAGTTTCCCGTAGGTTCTTTCCAGCCCGTGGAGTCATTCGTTGTCCCTTCCCATGTTCCACATCTTGCTTCTTCAACACGGATGGGATCCTCTACTTCCTGGGCTCTAGAGAAAACAAAGACTACCCAAGAGGCAGCTGCTTCTGATAAGGAGAACTGTCGGTCGCTGGCCCACAAGGAGGAAATTTTGGGGAAGAAAGCAGAAAAAGCAGCCAATGAACTCAATGCCTTGAGAAAATTTTCTGTGTCCTCTGCACGAGAAAGGCCAAGGACCAGAAGCCTACACTTTCCAGAAAGCTCAGAGTGTGAAAGTGCATTAAATACCCGATTCTTCCTATCCAAAGCAAAAGTCTCCTTGAGAAATGAGAGGTGGAACGAAGATTTGCAGACAGGATCAGGTCTGGAGCACAGAAAAAGTAGCAACAAAAAACAGACTTTGCTGCCAGAGTCCAGCTGTGAGATCCCAGGCCAATCTACAGAAATGTTGGCTGGCTGCATTTCTCAGGCTATTGATGCAGTTCCTGTCCCAAGTGATTCGTCTGTGGTATCTCAGAGTCAGCCAGGCTGTGAAAATAAAAGTCCTTTTCAAGTAAAACTTAGATCCACCTCACTGTCCTTGAAATATGGAGACAATTCTTCACAAGAATCAAAAGGGATTAAAAGATACAGTGCAGAGTTTAATTTAGAAAATGAAGGATTGACTTCATTTCTAAAAGGTGAAAAGGCGCAGACCAAAAAGACAGCTGATACAAATATTGGTGGTACTTTAAATGATAACATCAAATCCAAAGCAAAGTCCTCTGAACAGCTTAATGGCAAACCTCCGTTGCCCAAGAAACCTATCTTGCCAAACGTAGCTGTTCCAAATACCAATGCAAACAGGGAGAAACAGGACAAAGTTATTCAGTCTCCTGAATCCAGAAATGAAGATAGAGACTTGGAGAAAAAGTCAAGTCCTTGTAAAGTGCCTGGTAAGACTCCTGATGCTTTATTAATTTATCTTAACTCTTGAGGAATGGCCCTACCTGTGAGAGAGTGTGAGACAGCCTATTGTGTCAAACACAAAGGTGGTGAGTGAATTGACAGCTATGCTTTCAGTGATGTTGCTCCCTGATTCTCCCTTGCTGAAAGAGACCTATCAAAACAACAGCAGAGAAGACGCATCAGACAGAATAAGATATTTTAACTGAGATTTTTACATTTCAGGGCATTGTTTAAAGGATGGTCAAAGTGACACTTAAAAAATTAATAAAGTACATTAGCCAGTACTGTGAAACACAAATATCAAGCTACGAAATGTCCCATTAAGAGCTGCTGTGTGGCAATTCAGGAATGAGGAGCACATATGAAGTGTAGTACTCTGTGTGGGATGAGTGACTCAGACCTCTAGACCACCTTTTTCACCATAATATTGAGGGAGAAGTACTACTAATTGCCCAGAGTGCTCAACACACTGTTTATCGTCTCCCCCGAGCTTTGCTTACTCATTTATATGTCTTTATCATTACTCACTCCCTGTTTAAAAAGAGATATTAGGTACCCTGTAGCTTCATGGAGTTTAAAGCCAGAAGAGACCGTAAGATCATGTTTACTGCAGATTGTTAAATTTCACCCAGCTGTCCACATTATAAGCCAAAATATCATTGGGTTAGAGTAAAAAATCCAGTGCTCTGGAGACTGATATATTGTGTGTCACAGACAGAACAGAAAACCGAAAATGACACCAGTATCTGAGGCCTTTGTGATGTCAGGAAACAAATGTGAGGTAGAGTACGCTCAAACAGTTCTAGCAGGGGAACTCTGCTCTTCACTTCAAAGAAAGGCCAAAAGGAAAAGAAACTCTTCAGGTCTTCTGATACGTGGGAGAAATTTCTTCCTTGCCCTGAATCCATTTGGTCACGAGCTTGATGCTAAGCATGTGAGAAGGAGATGGCAGCCAAGCAAGTAAAAAGGTTTCTGTGTGCCATCCCAGAGCTCCACCCCTCGGTTACTCTTCTCTGGTTGAGGTCAGTCTCTGAGCTTCAGAGGGAAGAGCACAAAATGAAAAGTCCTCAGGATACAGTCGGCCAGTTGTCCTGTAGCGTGACAGAAGCTTCTTCCTGGCCGCGGAGGCAACTTGCTGAAGCCCTAAGTGAAAGCTGATTGTACTTGTCACCTGTGGTAGCATTGCACATGTTTTTGCAGAGGTCTCACTTACAACCTCCTGTTCTCCCCGCAGTTAAAGGAGGGAATTCATCGGCTGCCAGACTGCCTGACAGGACTCCCACAGTCATCCAGGCAGGCCTTCCTCCCCACCACACAGGAGAGGAAATCTCCCTTTGTATAATCCCAGCACTGCCTTAAACACATTTGCCCCACTGCTCTGTCCTGAAGAGCAGTTGGTTATTCATAATGACCCTCAAATCTTCTCTAATCAGTTAAGACAGGCTGTGGTAAGGGCTCTTCCATGCTGTTTTCAGGAGTGTCACACTGAGAATAGATGAGGAGCAGAAATAACACTGTAGGGTTAGTCTGCTAGAAGATGGAGGAAAAGCACTGGAGTTGCAAGCATTCCTGTATAGAGACCTATTTCCCTTTTGTCCTGCTGAGTTCTAGGTATCTGGACTGAGTTTTGGGTGCAGTAAGAGCAGAGGAGATGGTAGGCGTTGGAGGAGGAGGAAGGTGAGGAAATGGAGCCAGGGAACACCTTTCTCTTGTGGCTTCTTCACTGCTTGTACAGGCCTGGGACTGAGGCTCCTGTCCCCATGTTCAGGGGTGGGCTCTGCAGAGTAGCGTCTGAAGGCAAGAGCTTGCCTCCGGCCACTTGGCAGGGGTGTAGAGGCCTGGCGTTTGACATGGGGCTGCTGGCTGAGAGCCTTGTTTCAGATGTGCTCCTCTCCACCTGCCGTTATTATAACAAATTTGTATGGCCTGTGATGCTTTAACATGGCAATTCGGGCTAGTCTATAATGGTAGTTTGTCTTCTTCCTTATTTGCTGCCCCACGATTATTACTATAACACCTTAAGCAGAGCTGCTAGTTTTGCACATATTTCCAGCTTGGAATAGCTGTCTAAGGGATTCTAATATTTTAGCATGCCAGGGCTAAAAAAGTTTGATTATAAATGAGAAGCAGTCTGCTCCAGGTTGACCAGAGTTCCTTTTAACCTTACTACAGGCCTTTCTCCTTAGCTATTTGATCAAATACCTCCTTGTCCTAAGTTATTGCAGGAGCCTGAGCTGACTACCATGAAGGTGCAGGTGAAGGAGGTGTGCCCACTTCTCTAATTGCCCTGGCACCGCACTAGCTTTGGCAGGGGTATTTCTACAGTACCACCCGAGGAAAATTACCCTAGGGCCTTGGGAAAGCTCAGAAGCAGTGCGCTTCTGCCAGGCATGAGAGAGCCACGCGATACAATGAGGAAAATGATCAATACTCCTGCAGAAATAACATTTTAAGCTCCATGAGACATTTGCCTAAGCCCAGTGGCTCAGGAGCGCATCTTTGAAACTGCAAGCAGTGGTAATCAGAAAAGCATAATTGGCATAGCTCTTCTACGGTACGTGTGGTTTAATGACAGTCTCTGGCCTTCAGATATTCTGGGCCACCCGCTTCTTTTTTTTTCCAACCACCCTTCATGCTGGCACCCAGCCCACTCCTATTCTTTGAGTTCATTAGTCCTTTCAAAGAGCTGCGGTTGTTGTTGAGAGGCACTTGTGTGCCGTTAGGGAGTTTCAGCCTACTGCATGTTAGGAAATTCCTGCGCTGAACAAGAAGACAAGCTGTGAAATCATGATGCAAGGCGGTACAATTCCCTTTTCATGTACAATCGTCTAGAAAAAGTCGGTTCGCTGTGTCACGGGGTGAGCAGGAGCAATTTGGTTCATTCAGTTCAATCTATGGCTTTTCAGCACTTCTGGAAAACTGGTACCAAAGGCAGTGCTAAGGCTGACAGCATGCTGGCTTAACACCGAAAGTGAAACCAGCACTCTTGGTCACTAGAGTTTTCTGTGGAACTAGCAGGGGATTGCTTGGCATCTGTGTGGCTGAAGGGTGACGTTTTTTATGCGTATGAGAAAGCTGCCACAGAGGAGTAAATTGCAAAGCGCTACAGCTAAAGGCACAAGTCTTTGCAAGAATTAAAAAAGCAGACTGTGCTCTTTGGGGCTGATACACTTCTCTGTAAATCCTGTATGGAGCAGAACCAAATAACACATACTAACAGGTTATTACAAGAGCAAAACCATAAGCAATACCTGTGTGAATGCACATATTGGGACATAAAAAAATCAGTGACTGAGGAGCTGCAGCAGAGTGACTTTTTTTTAAAGAGAAAAGGAACTCCAGGAGAGATGGTGAATGCTAACGGTGAATGTAGTTGGTATGTATTGTCTAGCAGATCCAGTCTTTCAAACGACAAGAAAAATGTTTCTCTCTATATAAAAGACATTGCTTTAATGCTGTCCTGTGTATAGCTCAAAAGAAGGCTCTCTCTTTTTCAAGAGAAGTTGTTTTTTAGGCTGTGTGAGGCTATTTTACAATATGGCTGGTCTCCAGCAGTAAATAGACTTTGATGCAAACGTAGCAATTTCTTGTATAAAAAAGACTCTTGGCATCCGTGTTACAGATCCAACCAAAAGTCACAGCCCTTACAGGTCAGCCTAGAGGAGAAAAAAAAGTCCGAAATATTTTGCCAAATCTTTTAGAATTGCTCTGTCTGGAGTTAAGGCTTTGGTTGTGTACACTGAGACAAATGCATATAGTACTTTTATAAACAAAAGCAAGTATGTAGGCCAGGATATCCTAAATGCCTTAAGCATTTTTAAAGCCCTACTTAAAATAACTGGTGTTTTATAAGTGAGCAAAGATACAACAATGTGAAATGAAATACGTGTGCATAAGCAGTGCTGTAAAACGACAACACTGCTGCATATAGGGAGTTTTATCTCCCAGTGTAAAGTTGTTTGGATTAGTTCTGAATATGTTTGCTTTTAAAATGTGCAGGGAATACACAAGTTAGCTTTGCTTGCTAATAAAGGCATGACTTTCAAAAGGCTCTAATTTTCTGTTTCTGACCTTTTGCCTGCACAGATGCATGGTAAGAGTAACCACTCTTACGCCCTTGTAGGTGTAAGATGTTCGTTTTCAGGTACCAGAAGATTTAAATGTTATAAAATGCCTGTGCTATATTTTGTACACACAAAGATTTTTTGATTTAAAGGGAATAGGTATGGTATCTGAGGCCACCTCTAAAAAAATCAAGCTCTAAAGCTCAGGGTAACGTTTAAGATACGTTGGCCATGGTTATCCATCTATGCTACGCATACATACACACATACACATATATATATATACCTCTGCCCACTCCCCTACATACACTGAGTATATCTGTCTGTCCGTAGACAAAGTTACATATAGATTTCTCTTTCACTTTCTATACGAGTTTGTATAAACCAATATACAATAATAAGTCAACCATAGGTCTTCTTTTGTACATAAAAATTAATGTTATTGTTCACACAACTAGTCAAAAACACATTAAAGCATAATATCCCAAAATCAAGGGTGCACACTCATACCCACAGTCATTAGGCAGAAAAAATTCCACCTTTAAGATCAGCAGGCCTCTAGTCTTTGAGAAAAAACGAATTCTGCTTTAATAAGATTTTGAAGGAAACCGATAACCTGCGTTTAATATGACTGCAGCAAGATAATTTTCTCCCTTAAAGATCAACAAGCTCATGGCCAGTCAGCTCGGCTGTTGTCAGATCCAGCTGAGAAGGGCTCGTGTCCTCCTTATCTGAGTGAAGGACTTAAAAAGGTGTGATACAGTTCATTTTGTTTCAGCGGTTATCTTCTGTGGCCAGTCATGAAGCTACAGGGAGTGATGAAGAATTTAGGGCTGGCTGCTGTGTATGTGGCTGAGTGGTGAAGGAGGTGAAGAAAGGGCTTCAGAAACCTTTGGGTATGGTTTCAAGTGGCAGCAGTAGAC